TTGCTAGCGGGTGGTTCATTCCCCTCCCCCCTCCCCTTTTCCCCTTCTGCTCTGAAACCACCTCAGCAGAAATCCGGCGATTATGCAACGCGCTGCAGGCGCCTTGCCCGGAACAAAAGCGAAGAGGGAGGTCCACCAGGAACCCATGCCGGGGGGGGGAAGCACCCCAACGGATTCCAGGGGGGGGGCCTTCGGCGCCACAATGGGAAGGCCCATGGGAGCGACCTCCCCGGGGAGCAGGGCGGTCGGAAGGATCGCCCTTGCCCTTGAACTACAACGGCGCGAGACAAAAGGGCTTCTTCGCTGGCGGGAAGGCAGGCAGGCAGGCAGGCAGGCTGCGTAGAATGTGCCTCCTCCGACGGGGTTGTCCTTCTCTTCCCGCCTCCCCCCAACTCCACGTCTCCTCTGCCCATCATGAAAAAGGCGCCCCCCCTCCCTGTCACCCGAGCCTCCGTCCCCACAAGGTCTAATTTTAGCAGGGTTGGGTTGCAGCGAAATGTGCCGAGTCAACACGGCAGCCGCCGCCGCCGCAACAGCAGCAGCAGCAGCGGCGGCGGGTGAGGCGCAAGACCCGCTCAATATGGCTCTTCGCTTCCTCTGCCGCGGCTGCTCTGGCATTCCAGCAATGGAAGCCGCCGCATACCGGGACTGTCCGGCCCTCACCCTCGCCAGCTCCACTGCCCCGATGCGGTCATGACGGGGACACCCCGCGGGCTGTTGATCCTGCCCACCGGAGTTGCTCCAAAGTGTGGCGCCCCCGGCCCGACCCGGATCGGGACGTGCCCTCTTTCTCCCCGCTCCGCACGCCCCGGGGTCTTGTCCCGGCTCCCCCCACCAGCAGCACACCCTCGCCTGTACCTTTGTCATGGATCCGGGAGCTGAAGTCCGCCCGCGATCTGCTGTAGGAGCTTTCTAGATCCGCCGAGGAGAAATCGTCAAGTTTGACCTTTTTAACCAGGAAAGATCTTGGCATGATTTCTGGACTTTCCCGGAATGTGAGAAAGCTCCCGCAGCGTCCGCCGATGGGTTCAGACCAGGGAAAAAAGGAGGGGGGAGCGGCCGGATGGGGATGGCGATGGGAATCGCGCAAGGAAGACGCCGGATAAGAACAAAAAGAAAGAAAGAAACGTAGAAAAATAAAATTTAAGAGGAGAAGCCCAACCAGAGGGTCGTGGTTCCCCCCCCCCCCTTTTTGCCTAGAAAAATAAAAGCAAACCCCGCAGCGCCTCAAGGCTGCCCGTCGCGGAGGGCTATGGCTTTGTGGTATTTTTTGCTTTATCCGTCTTCTCCTTCCGGGCCCCTGGATGGAGCGGCGGCGCCTGCCGCGGGGGTCTCCAGCCTGGGCGGTTGCGCCGCGCCAGTCCTTGTTCCCGGAGCTGCAACGGCAGCGGCAGCGGCGGCGGCGGCGGCTTTTGTGCGGCGAGGAGGAGGAAAGGCTGCGGCGCCTCCTTGGCAGGCCTTCTCTCGCTCGCCCTCCAGCGCGGCTCACAAGCCCACCATGAGTTCGAGAGATTGCAGCCCACGCCGCGCTGGTTCATAAGAGGCGGCCGGTGGGTTCAGCACCTGGACAGCTCCCGGAGAAACAGAGAGAGGGAGAGCGAGCGGCGGCGCCAATCTTGCCCGGCTCCAGGGGCCCGCGCGTTCTTCCCTTGGCCGGGTCGCTGGTTCGCTTCCTCCGCAGCACAGCGCAATCTCACACCGGTGGGCCGGCTGCGGCTCGGCCCGGCTCGGCTCGGCTCTTTCCTCCCCGTTCGTCGCCCTCCCTCCCCCCCCCCCCCCGACTTCGGTCCTCTCCAGCTGTAGCTTCTGCTCGGGTCGTGTGAGTGTATGTGCGTGTGCTGTAATTCGTATTGTTGTTCCGCTTCGGGGCGGCGGTGGCGGTTGGAAGAGAAGGGGGGCCTGGCTGGCTGGCTTTGACTTCGCTCGCTCGCTCGCTCGCTCTCTTGCTTGCCTGCGCGGGGGGGGGGGGGTCTTT